AGGAAGGTAAGGGAGCTGAAAAAAATAGAGAGGAGGGTGGGAAAAGTGGAAGGAAAGGCTGAAAACAAAAAATATAAGGTAGGGCCAAGTGAAGTGATGGTGAAATGAAGATTATAAGTTGGAATGTTAGAGGTTTGGGGAGGGCTGCTAAGAGAAGGCTCATAAAGGAAGTGTTAAGGAGGGAAAAGCCAGATGTGGTGATGCTCCAAGAGTCAAAGGCACAAGAGATTGATAGAAGGTGGATAAGGAGTGTATGGGGAGGTAGAGACATTGGATGGACCATGGCTTCATCGTGCGGGGGTCTCAGGAGAGATAGTCACTATGTGGAATGAGAATACAATGGAATGTGTGGAGGAATTGATAGGTAGATACTCAGTGTCAATAAAACTGCAGAATATAGATGATAAGTTTAATTGGGTCCTAACAAATGTTTATGGGCCTAATTCACATAGGGATAGAAATGAGATGTCGGAAGAACTAGCAGATGTGAGAGGTTTATGGCAAGACCCGTGGTGTTTAGGGGGGATTTTAATGTGATCAAACATACCGCTGAATCTAATAATCCAAGGCAAAAGGTTACCACCAGCATGAAAAGATTTAATTGCTTTATAGATACATTTGAAGTAAAGGAAATTGAGATTGGTCAACACATATTTTATTGGACTAATTGTCAAGAGAATTCGATGTGCTCAAAGCTGGATAGATTTTTTGTTTCTTGGGATTGGGAGGAACACTAGAATAACATGGTGGGTAGGACACTACCCAAGGTCACCTTAGATCATTGGCCAATATGTACTGGACAAGGGGTAGGCGGGGATGGGCCTATGCCCTTTAGGTTTGAGAACATGTGGTTGACGGTCCCGAAATTTGTATGAAAGATTGAGGAGTGGTGGAAAGAAGATGACTCCCAAGATGTTTGGAAAGGGGTGAGATTCTATAGGAAGCTTCGGAAATTAAAAGGAAAAATCAAGGAATAGAATCATAGTAAATTTGGGAGGATAGAAGAGAGGAAGATGAATGTGGCAAACAAAATTGAAGAAATAAATAAGGAGGAATCTGGCTCATTGAGTGTAGGGGAAAAAGACGAGAGGTTTAATTTAAGAAAAGAGTTGGAAACCACACTCCTTAGAGTAGAAATGACTTGGAGGCAGAAATCAAGAGTGCGGTGGATCAAAGGAGATGGGAACACAAAATATTTTCACATGATTGCGAATGGGAGAAAAATGAAGAATTTGATTTCTATGTTAGAATTGGAGGATCGCAGAATAATTAATCGTGATGAGATTGCTGAGGTCTTGGTGAATCATTTTAAATCAATCTTTAGAAGTCCTCTTTCAGGAAGATGGGAGATGGGAGATGGAAGGAATTGACTGGCCAGCCCTAGAAGATGATGTGAGCAGAAGTTTGGAGAAAAAGATTTGAGGTAGATGAGGTGAAAGCAGCAAGGGGCCTTTATTCAAGAGAGACAAATTTCAGATTAGATACTCATTGCCAATGAATGTGTGAAGGATTTCAAGAAAGCTGGAAGGAAGGGCATTGTGTGCAAACTGGATTTAGAGAAAGCCTATGATTTGGTGGACTGAGAGTTCCTAGTTGAGGCTTTAAGGATGTGTGGGTTTGAAGCAAGATGGTGCAAATGAATTAAAGGGTGCCTACAATCTTCTCACTTCTCTGTATTGGTGAATGGTGCAATCAAGGATTTCTTTGGTGCCCGACGAGGAGTGAGACAAGGGGACCCTTTATCTTCTTTCCTTTTCACCATATTAGCTGAGGATTTTAGTAGATTGATCTCGAAGGTAGAGGATATGGGGGTGTTAAAAGGTTGGAGAGTAGGGAGGGAGAGGGTGGTGTTAACTCATCTACAGTTTGCGGATGACATCATTATTTTTTGCGAGGCTGGAGATGAGGTAGGAGCAAGAAATCTTAGGGTGTTGATTAAATTATTTGAAAAAGTGACAAATATGAGGGTGAATCTTAGTAAGAGTTAGGTGGCAGGGATCAATTTAGCACAAGAAGATGTTAATTTGTGGGCTGAGGAATTAGGATGCTTAAGAAGTGATTGGCCACTCAAGTATTTAGGCCTCCCCCTTGGTGCAAATCCCAAAAGCATAGATTTTTGGAGTTCAGTTGTGAAAAGGTTTGAAAAGAAACTTGCTGCGTGAAAGAGGAATTACATTTCTTTGGGGGTAAGGATTATCCTCATTAAGTCTGCCCTTGCTAACCTTCCAATTTATTACCTCTCGATGTTTAGCATGCCTCAAGTTATGGGGAAGAGACTGGAGAAAATAATGAGGGACTTTTTGTGGGAACCAGAAGAGAAGAAGAGAGATCATCTAGTAAGGTGGGACAATATCTAGGAGGGAAGAGTTTGGAGGCTAGGGGTTAGGAAGGTTGAAGGAAAGGAATGAGGCTCTACTAGGAAAGTGGTTATGGAGGTTCCCACAGGAAGCAGACAGGTCGTGGCACAAGATTATGACTAGTATTCATGGGCTCTCTGTAAATGGTTGGGATGTTAGAATGTCTAGAAGGGTTTCTAGCACTTCTCCTTGGAAAGCGATTCACAAAATCCTACCATTGTTCCTCAATCATGTCAGGTATGATCTCAATTCAGGTAGCAAAGTTAAATTTTGGGAAGATGTATGGGTGGGTGACTATTCTTTAAAGACCTTATTCCCATCAATTTTTGACCTGTCTTGCCTTAAGGGTAATCCGGTTGCTGATTTCCTATCCCCTTCTCCTTCACAATCTGGTTTTGCTTGGAATCTGGGTCTCCGCAAAAATGTGAGAGATTCTGAGTTGGATTTGGTTTCCTCTATTGTTTAGTTGCTTGACGGGGTTTTCATTGGTCCTACCAAACCAGATACTAGAATTTGGATTCCGAATCCCCTTGGAGTGTTCAGTTGTGCGTCATTTTTCAAAACTTTGACCTCTAGTCACCCTGGGGTCTAATTCCCAGTCTGAGAAATCTGGTGTCACCCTGTTCCCCCTAAAGTGGATGCTTTTTGTTGGGAGGTCTCCCATGGTACAATTAACACTTGTGATCTGATGCAGAGGAAGATGCCTGGTTGGTGCCTTTCACCTAATTGGTGTTGTTTGTGTGAATCTAATGGTGAAACTGCTCTTCATATATTTAATTCATGTCCTGTAGCTAACAACATTTGGGATTGGTATTTTTCTCTCTTTGGATGTAGGTGGGATACCCTGGTGAACTTGGGAAGAATGTTTGAAGCCTCCACCTTCCGATGACCAAAAAGAAGAGGAAGAACTTTATGGAAATGCACACGGGTAGAAGTATTGTGGATGTTATGGGAGGAAAGAAATCATAGAATTTGTGAAAGGAAAAAAGGATGCAAGGAATTGATGATAAAAGGGATTATGATAAAAATAATCTCATGGGTGAAAACTATGGACTTATTTTCAGACTTTACTATGGATGACATAATCAGGAACTGGAGGACTGTAGCATCCTTGTCAGCTGCAAAAAAGAAGGTCCTAAGAAGTTGGGATCCTCCTGAATCTAGGTTTCTCAAACTAAACTTTGATAGAAGCAACTTTGGCAACCCGGGTGTGGCTGGAATTGGTGGGGTCATAAGAGATGACAGGGGGACAATAGTGGGGCTGTATTCGGGCCCGATTGGTAGGGGCAACTCCATTACAACTGAATTCAAAGCAGTGGTCTTCGGAAATTGGTGGTAGATGGGGACTCCAAAGTAGTTATAAGCTGGCTAAAGCAAGATGGGAAGACTCCATGGATATTCAGAACTGAGATAAGAAAATTATTTATATTACAAAAGATATACAAATATTATATCAGTGGGCTCCAAGAGCAGCAAATGGATTTGCGGACCAGCTAGCAAAGCAAGGGGCTAATAGGGAACTATGTTTCTGGGCTCAGGTGTAAGAATGTAAAGCAAGTCCTAGGTGGAACCTTAAAGGTTATTGGGGTAGCCGAGGCTACTCATTCTCATTCTCTGTACTAAATCCATTATCTTATTCTTAATAAAATCGCTTTTACTGAAAAAAATGGGTAAGAAAATTTAAACGCTTAAAATTTAAAAATGGATAGGATTCATGAAGCCAGCCCGATATGATTGAATTGATTTCACATTGGTTTCCCAAACAACGCACTCCACAGCATATCCCAGCCATGCATTGGGAACATTCTTCCCTTGATAAGTATGACGAGGCTTGGGTGATGATGAAAAACCACCGAGTAAGCATTGGAATAAATGCTTTTGTAGAAAACTGAACAGATGGTCCAAATGGATGTTGTTTCATAATTTAAGAGGATGTTTGGTACAATGGCATTGTGTTGCATTTTCGATTGACCAATACAAATCTCCCTAACAAATTTGTATTTATTAACCCACAAGCAATGACAGTGCAACGCCACTATATCAAACGCCTCATCAACAATGGCAGAGCCAGCGGAAATGTTTGATATGAATAGCATGACAGATTGTTTTAAGAAAAAATAAACATTTTTTAATTTTGGGAATTGGAAAAACGTTGGAGAGTGATCTTAACATTTCAATTCAATTTTTGAGGGGGCCAATGACCCATTTATTACATTTTTAACCTTGTCTGTTCACACCGTTTGAACAGCCTCTTACAACCTTGCATTGGGAATTTCCCCATGAAATAAAACATAAATTTGGCTTCGGCCAGTGCAAGTCCATGCTCACACTATTTGAACAGCCTCTTGCAATACATTGAAAATATCTCATAAAATAAAACACGAGTTTGGCAAACCTATGCTTACACCGTTTGAACAGCCTCTTGCAACCTTGCATTGGGAATATCTCCCCATAAAATAAAGTACACAAGTATGGAGATAGAAGCTGAACTCATTAAATATGGAAATATTCCCAATGCAAAGCTATAAAAGCTGTTCGAACGGGCTTTGCGGTGACTGAAGCCGAACTCAACCTTTGGGGCTTAATTCAGGGGGTTGGGCCTTTTCTAGGTCGCTGGGAAATCAACAGGTCAATATAAATCACTTTTTACAAAACTGGTTGGCTTGCCATGTCAATCTAGAGATGACCCTTGAGCAGGCATGCTAATTCCCTGAAGAATCATACAGTACTATTCATATTGGTCATTCAGTGATGAATTGATATGAATAGCATAGTCATAATTAACATGGTAAAAGTCCCAAAACCAAACAAAGTTTGTCTCCCCACATCATGTATTTGTAGCAGTTTCAACTATTGTCTTGGGTCCAAGTTTGTCCCTCCATATCATGTAATTGCAACATCTTCGACTATTGTCTTGGGTGTTGGTTGAAGGTGTAACTTTCTCTACTACAGCATTACCACCACAATCGATTATGTAGGAAATATCCAATCCTTCCAATATCAGGTGATAAATCACATTGCTCGAAGAAATTGAACCTTGTTCATTCTCATAACCAAGATCTTCATCCTGGTCTTTCTCGAACTCTGGGTTCATATTGCTCACTGCATGATTTTCCATCTTCAAGAGACAACCGTGAGGTCGCTTTCGTTGAGACAGAGACCTTATATCCCATGAGAGTACCTCCTTGATCAGGCTTTGGAACTCACCAGGTGATTCATAGAGTGATCTCTTCTCCTGAAACAAAAACAAATAGGTTCTTAGGAGATACTATTTATTGTAATCATAACTGGAGTTGTATTCCTAAGGGTGGCCCATCTTAGATAAGATTCTAACTGCTGATTATTATGGATTGAATTCTAACATCACTTGAACTAGATCAAAATCATTTTTGGCAATAAATTAAGCAATTTCTTTTCATTAGGTAAGTAACTGATCAGGCAAAACAACATGAATGTTAAGAAAACTATTGTTAAATCCAAACTCTAAAGACTGGGGAAATCTTGGGTGCCAACATTCTACAATAGGTGCAGCATGCCAGACTTGCCAGTGTTGTAAATGATGGAAACTAGAAGGCTTGGAATGGCCAATTTTGGATTCTTCTTTGAGAAGGGAAACTGGAGAGAAAATTTGATAGGAAAGAGGTAAAGGATGCTATTTTCTCTACTCCTGGCCCTGATGGTTACACCGTGGCCTTTTATCAAGACTGTTAAGAATGGTTAAGCGAGGATTTGATGAAAGTTTTTGAGGAATTGTTTTATAGGGGGATTATCAGCAGGGGTGCTAATGCTACATTCATTGCCTTTATCCCTGAGAAATCAGGAGTTTTCCATCCCAAGGACTTTAGACTGATCAGTTTTGGAGACCAGTCTTTATAAGATTTTAGCTAAAGTACTTTCCTTGCGGTTAAAAAAAGGTTCTCCCTTCAATTATCTCTTAGTTCCAAGGGGCCTTCATTAAGGATAGACAAATCTCGGATCAGATACTTATTGCCAATGAGTGTGTTGAAGCTTTCAAGAGATCTGGGAAGAAGGGTGTGATGTGCAAATTGGACTTGGAGAAAGCATATGATTTTGTAGATTGGGCTTTCTTGCTTGAAGCATTGGTAAACTGTGGTTTTGGTGCAAAGTGGTGAAAATGGATAAAAGGGCGCTTGCAAACTTGCCATTTCTTAGTCTTGGTTAATAGGGTGGTTGGAGCCTTAAGGGGTCTAAAGCAAGGGGATCCCCTCTCCCCCTTTTAATTCACTCTCCTAGCAGAAGTTTTTAGCAAGTTAATCTCAAAAGTTGATGAAGTGGGACTTTTAAAGGGGTGGAAGATAGGGAGAGATAGGGTAGGGTAGTGGTAATCCATTTACAATTTGCAGCTGACATTATCATTTTTTGTGAACATGAAGATGGGTTGGGAGCAAGGAATGTGAGATTGTTGGCGAGTCTTTTTGAGAAAGTTGCAAATTTAAAGGTTAACTTAAAATAAGAGTGTGGTGGCTGGGATCAACTTGGAATCGGAGGAATTAGATTTGTGGGCCAAGGATGTATGTTTAGTGAGTGGCCATTGAGTACTTAGGACTCCCTCTTAGTGCAAATCTGAGATCTTTGAATTTCTGGAATCTAGTGGTGGAGAAGTTGAAAAGAAGTTGGTTGTGTGGAAGAATAACACTCATTAAGTCCACCTTAGCAAACCTCCCTGTTTATTACCTATCTTTGTTTCGCACGTCCCAAGCAATTATTAAAAAATTAGAAAAACTGATGAGGGACTTCTTGTAGGAACCAGGGGGATGCAAAGAAATACCATTTAATAAGATGGGAGATAATGTGCCAAAGGAAGGAGATGAGAGGATTAGGATTAGGGAGACTAAAAGAGAAAAATTCAGCACTTCTTGGAAAATGGCTTTGGAGATTTGCGTGCGAAACATATAAGTTGTGGCACAAGGTAGTGACTAGCATTCATGGGCTCTTAGAGAATGGTTGGGATGCTGGAATTTCGAGTGGGGCTTCCAATGCCTCTCTATAGGAAGCCATTCACAAAGTTCTTACACTTTTCCTTCCTCATACCATGTTTGATCTCAATTCAGGCAATAAAGTTAAATTTTGGGAAGATCTGTGGGTGGGTGAAGCTCCCCTGAAGGAGTCCTTTCCTTCTATTTTTGCCCTTTCCTCTCAAAGGCAAATCGGTTTCAGAATTTTTGACCCACTCACCTTCCCCCTTTGGTTTTGGTTGGCTTGGGGTTGCAAAGGAACGTGAGAGATTAAAAACTGGACCTTGTTTCAAAACTTCTTCAAGTCCTTGATGGGGTTTTCTTTGAACCATGCATCCTTTTGGGACCTTTAGTTGTGCCTCTTTCTTCCACTCTTTAACTTCCTCTTCTCCTTCTCCCTTGCCTTTTCCTTCTAAAGAAATTTGGTGTCGCCCTATTGGGACCTTTAGTTGTCCCCCCAAGTTAGGTGCTTTCTGTTGGGAGGTCTTCTATGGTGTAATTAATACCTGTGATTTATTACAGAGAAAGAGACCAGGATGGTGTCTATCCTCAAATTAGTGTTACTTGTGTGAATCAAGAAGGCTGATATTGATCACCTTTGGCCTGTACTCTAGTTCAATTTCTGTAGGAAAACACAGAGAAAAAGGAAAGACAGAAGAGAGAAGAGAGGAAGAAAAGAAGAGGAGAGACTATTCTGCTGCCCAGATTTGATATTTATAGGTTTCTATCATAAAATAGGTTACAAGGACTACTATACCCCTGCCGACTAAGACACTACTTAACGGAATATAACAGTAACTAATGTAGGCCCAATTAACAAGCCCATGACAAGGCCCAAACAGATATATATATATATATATATATATATATTTTGATCAATAACAATTTCATTAATTCACCAAAGAGGTTACATAAGGAAGACAAACACACTTATCTTCCAAGTACAATCAAGAAAACAAAAGAATAGGTAGAGACAAAAAATTACAACTTAGCCCAAAATATTGAATCCCTTTCTGCCCCTTGTTTAGCCAAACCATCAGCTAGAGAATTGGCTGATCTTTTGACCCAGCACATTTTAACTTCCATCTCCCGCACCAGCCACTTAATTTCTTCCTCTGATTACTGTACCTCCATAAACCATTGCTGTCTGCATTCATCTCCTTGGCTTTCTGGACTCCTTCCATAACTGCAAAGATCTCAGCTCTAAGGGAGCCACCCACTCCAATTGGGCCTGAGAACAAGGCAAAAATGACCCCATTCTCATCACTAAAGACACCCCAATCCCTGATTGTCCAGGGTTCCCCCTACTACTCCCATCAAAATTTAATTTCATGAACCCAACAGGTAGAGGTGTCCAAGACAACTCATTACTGATTTGGTCTGTGTGCACTTTACTATTTCACCCCACTTCCTCAACATGTCATCCACTGTGTAACCTGTGAATAGTTCCAAAGATTTCAGCCATTGTACAGCCCTAAAATGAATGATAGCCTTTAGTTCTTCCATCCCTCTCTCAGCCGCTGAGAATATCCTGAAGTTTCTTTCTTCCCATATTGTCCAACATACTGCAGCCCTCAAACCTCTCTACATGGTCCTTCCCCTTTTCCTACGCCACCTGAAGACAGAAGGGGAAAAAAGGCCCTGCAGATCTGATGGAGGGTTCCATCTACACCCAAAGAGGGAAAAAGCCCATTCCCAAATTGACCTCGCAAAATGGCATGATACCAGTAGGTGAAAACCAGTCTCCCCATCCGCTTTACATAGAACACACCAATGGGGTGACAAGCAAGTATTGGGTCGCTTCTTTTGGAGTAGATCACCAGTGTTGAATCTTTCCATATAGGCTTCCCAACAAAAACTACCAACCCTAGGAGGGATTGCTCTACACCAAACCTCATCAACAGGGAAAGGGGGGGTTACAGGACTGGTGGACTGGCTTAGGACTTTGAAACAGGAAGCATAAGAAAAGAAGCCAGTGGGTGTAGGGGTCCAAATTCTAGAGTCCGCCCTTGTGGGGTCTAAGACAACATTATCAAGAAGTTCAAGAAGGCCCTTCTGAGACCCAAATTCCACCCAAGCCCAGAATTGAAAGAGGATGAGGTAATGAAGGATGAAACTGGCTCATTTTTAAGATCAGATAGAGCATACAAAGAGAAAAGCAGATTGTGAATACTGGAAGCAGATTGTGAATGGAGTTACCGGAGTTTGTTCCTTTAGAGGGACATTCCCCACCCAAGTTTGTTCCCATAATTTTATGGACCGGAATTCAGATCATACCTGATATTGGGGGAGAATACTGGAAGCAGATTGTGAATGGCTTTCCAAGGAGAAAAGCTTGTGGTCCTAGCTTTGATT